AAAAAAAAAACACTCATCATGGTAAAATCAATACATTCATCGCTCCGCTCAGAATCTAAAATTCTAGATAGGTAATTTTGCTTTAAATAGTGAATGAGTAACATAATTTTTTTTCAGACATTGAACAGGATAATAATTAAAATGTCTTTATTTTCATATTATATGCACGCAATGTAATCTATGAAATACTATGGATAAGTACCTACATGTTACTAAAYTTTAGAAGACCCTAATACACTATTTATGAGATGTTTACTACTTTTTTAAACTATTATGATTATAAAAAACAGTAAAAACACATTCAAGTAGCCATAGAGTAGGTAACCAAAAAAGGTTTATGGGACAGTAGTGTACTATACATTTTAAATAAGTCGTTTCTGGGGGCTGAGTGATTTTTCCATAAATACGGACGAATTGCGCGCATGGAAAAATGTCTAACTTTCTAAGACGATTTTTTGTTAAACTTGGTGTCTGATGATAAGGTATTATGGTATCTTACATAACAACATCCTAACTTGCTAAAAAAACTAGGGGAGCGCAAAATTATTCATTAAAGACATAAAAAAATGATTTGTTCGTTTTTAGTTTTCACATAATTCATAAAACTCATACTCATTTTGTGACTTAGAAACATATTATCCCTGCTAATTACAACATATTATTGTTATGCAACAGGAAAAACGTTAAATAATTCAAATAAATTTACTTAATGCAATAAYTTGATTAGAAAAATAATTGTAATTTGTATTTATGTACATTGTATTACATTTTTCTATAAATTTTCATAAGACATAAAGATCTCTATTGTTAGCATATTTGGGAGTAGGGGAGGAGAAATACTTTTGCTCAACACAAAATTTTTATAGAGGTGCGTGCAAGTGTCCCAATAATCACACCTTTGGTAACATCATTGGTTATTGTACTGAATGGCGTAAATATTAAAAATATATAAATTATGTAATAGGTACATAATATTATAATGAATAATTTATATAATAGGTACCTATAGGCAGGGCCGCCGAGTTTTGTTTAAAAAGGTAGTCCAGTTCTCTCAACAATTCGTCATTCAGGAACATTGAAAGCTAAAATTACTAAATTCTTGTGTAACCTCTAATGAAATATTTCATTCTCAAAGCTGTATGGAATTTAGAAAAAAAATAATTGGAATGGTATATTTTATTAAGTCGATATCGATTTAATATAAGTATTATATGATATATGATGCCGCGAGGAAAATAAAATTAGTATAGGTAAGAGTAACCTGAGTAAGTATAATTTTCCCGATAAAAGTGATTATGTGACAAGGATACATTTTAAGTACCTATAATACAATGTAGTGTAAAATTTGAATAGATGTTCAACATATTTGTACGGTTAGGCATACAAAATTAGCTTAAAATTTGAATGATAAAATAATATTATTTCAATTTATTATAATAAAGTCTGTCTGAACTTAATTGATACCTATACGAAAATTAGTCGTAGGTACATACGATATAGCTTAAAAAAAATTAAATTAAAACAAAACTATGCAAAAAATGTTATTATATTTGTGTTGTACCAA